CTCAAATAAATTGGTTAGTCTCTAAGGTGCCACAAGTACTCCTTTTCTTTTTGCAAATACAGACTAACATGGCTGTTCCTCTGAAACCTGTCATTATGCTTTTATTTGTAGAACAAAAAAAGTTAATTATTATTAAGGTTTTTTTTATATAGCACTTTTATCCAAAGCGCTTTACAATAGTTAGCTAACAGTACATACAACATTTGGAAAGATCATTACGTGGTCCGCCGAGACCCTCAGCAATTTTCAAGTGGTCTGCGGAAAAAAAAGTTTGTGGACCTTTGTCTTAATGCCTACTGCGTACATACATCTTGCAAGTGTATTAATGATCAGTGAGTTATTAGTTTTCAAATGATACCTCACAAGACATATTTTGTACAAAGATCAGTACAATCATGTGAAGGGTGTGAATACAGGAGTGCTTAGTGTCACACATATAAAGACACCACTATCAAAAAAAGACACTTCACTGCACAAACTTTCCCTCAGGGGAGACAATGAGAGAACAAACACCACATGTCAGATTTATAATCATGATGCCTAATTCACTGCTGGAAGGCACTCAGATACTACAGTTATGAGCGTGATATAAAAACCTATATAGAACAATGCCCTCAAAGCTGCAGATAGAGATAAACATAAGGTTGTGTAACCCTTCTGCCCGTCAGAGTTGGCAGCAACAAGGGCCGGGTTCAATATCTAGGGGATCCATTCCAATAACACAATGCAAACCGGCTCGAGCCCCCACCCAGTGACCTGGGACAAATATATACCACCCCCGCTGGGCGCCTCCAAGAGGCAATACTTCCCCTCTTGCAAGCACATAGTCTGAGTGTAGCAAAAAGCCTTTTAATAACAGAGAGAAACAATGTGGCATTATGTTGGGGAAACACCACCAACAGGATTCATAACATAACCCATGAACAAAAAAACCCACCCCAAGCAAATTGGGGCATGCCCCATTCCCTTTGGTTCTTGAGTCCAGCAACCCCAAATCACCCAAAGTCCCAAAAGTCCAATGACCCAAAAGTCTCTGTCCCTGGTCAGGGCAGCCCCAGAGTTCGAAAGTTTATCTGCGGAGCTTTACCTCCCAACCTGGGTGGAGATGGGACGGGGGTAAGAGGGACCTTACATGATCTGAAGCTGACCACCCCACAGCTCCATAGGCCTTCGCTCCGCCAGCCGCCCCACGAACTCCTTCGCTCAGTTCTGCTCTGCGGCCCACAAGCAGCTCCCACCGTCCCACGAACTGCTCCACCAGCTGGTGCACAAACTGCTCCGCGTCCCACCAGCAGCTCCCGCCGTCCTACGAACTGCTCTACCAGCCTGTCCACAAGGCACTCCAGCCATCCCGCAAACTGCTCCACAATATATCTTCAGGCTCCCCCACTACTTAACACAATGCTCAGTGATTTCAGCTCTTAAGTGAATTCAGCTTGTAGGAGGGGAGCCTCAGTGCTGGTGCACCATTAGCCCAAAGTGAGCTCAGCAGCCTGTAACTAGACTCCTAATAGAATCAAAATTAGCTCTGATATTCCACAGTGGAGAGAGAAGGAAGTGCAATTAGTATGTAAGGCCCTCACCAAGGGGCCCATACCACCAAGTATTAATACTTGTCCCCAGCCTCTCTCAATTCACAGAGTTTAATTTTTAAAACCCATGACCCTTGCCTAGCGAGTGCTACTTAGTTGATGGTGAGTCCCTCCATCATAACAAAAGGCCAAGTACAGTTCCAAGCACAGTTCCCATAATCAGAGTAATAACAATTTATTCTTCCTGTCCCAATAACAGAGACACCGGGGATCCCACAGCAGCCAAAGTGACCATTTGGGCAGCTATGGCCTCATTCGAGGCGGGGTGGGTGTGCCTATGCAAATGAGATCAGCCCCTGAAGTTCTTTTCCACAACTTGCCACACCTCACCACCAGATGTCAGGGTGGAGCTCATCCTGACACTGCTTACAGTTGTAATATATTTATTAAATGAAATGCAAATCATATTAAAATATTGTTGCCCCTTGCAATCCAAACAGTTAACCAATATTCAGAATTTGCAGGTTACTTCTGTTATCAGGAGAAACTGATGATAGAATAAGGTATTTATTTGATGCAATCCTGTTCATTTACAAAGGATGTACACAAAAGTCCTTTTTTCCTGGTAGACAGTAGGAATCAAACAACAGGAGAGCTTCTTAGCTTACAGTCCCAAACCTCTTTCCAGTCAGCGGCCTGCCCCAAAAGCTCTCTCTCAGGGCTTTTTCTTAAGGTTGCACTGCAAGTGCTTTTCTTGCTGTTTCCTTGGCTGCTTCTTTCTGCTGCTTCTCTCTGGGCAGCTTACACTACAGAATTACTTTGGTATAACTATGTTGCCTAGAGTTTTGAAAAATCTACACCCCTGAGTGACATAGTTATACCGACCTAAGTGCTGGTGTAGACAATGCTATGTCGGTGGGAGGGCTTCTCCCACTGACTTAGCTACCGCCTCTCATGGAGGTGGATTAACTATGCCGATGGGAGAGCACTCTCCCATCAGTGTAGAGAAGGAGTGGGCAAAATTTTTGGCCTGAGGGCCACATCGGGGAATGGAAATCTTATGGCGGGCCAAGAATGCTCACAAAATTGGGGTTGGGATGCGGGAGGGGGTGCGGGCTCTGGGGTGAGGCTGGGGATGAGAGGTTTGGGATGCAGGAGGGTGCTCCGGCCTGGGATCGAGGGGTTTGGAGAGCGGGAGGGGGATCAGAGCTGGGGCAGGGGATTGGGGCGTGGAGAGAGGTTTAGCGGTGCAGGTTCCGAGTGGCACTTACCTCAAGCAGCTCCCGGAAGCAGTGGCATGTCCCTTCTCTGGCTGCTATGCGGAGGCACAGCCAGGCTGCTCTGCATGCTGCCCCATGCACAGGAACCACCCCTGCAGCTCTCATTGGAGCACGTAGGAGCCAGAGCGGGGCCATGCCGTGGCTTCCAGGAGCCGCGTGGTGCGGTCTCCGACCTGCGCCCTGGCTGGAGCTATGGAGCGGGGCCGAGCCATGTGGTGCATCCCCAGACCCAGTGCCCTGGCCGGAGCGGGGCCGAGCTGCACGGTGCAGCTTGCGGGACAGCTTAAAATGGCTAGCGGGCAGGAGCCCACCCCTGGTGTAGAGCATCTTCATTAAAGTGCTACAGCAACACAGCTGCATCAGTGCAGCTGGGCCGATACAGTGTTTTAAGTGTAGACCAGCCTGCAGACAAACCTCCACTAAACGATACCAAATGCCCTATGTTTATATTCAGTCCCCAGCAAAACCTTTCCTCCCACATGGCTCTACTTTTGACTAGCCTGGTCTTGTGGGTATGTGTTTTGGGTGGTGGCTCCTATTGTTTCATTTTACACCAAAAATCAGCGTAACTACTTGCATTTATCTTGAATGAAGGATGGCTATTATGCCCACCAGCTTCAATGATGATTCACCCAAACTCCCTCATCACAGTGTATAAGGGAATGGTCAGTTAGAGGTGGGATAGCAGAGCATTGGAAAGCTATTGATAGGAACATTTGGGTATATAAAATAAGCACACATTTTAACTCAATAAAAAAGCATAGGACAGAAAAAGCTTTTTTGGAGAGAAAGTGGAAAAATTACAAATATATTTCTGAAAAGGGAATTGTCACTTTTAAATAGGTTGGCATGTATGAATATATACACTTGTGTGGGGGTGAGGTGTATTGAACATTAACACATTATCCATGCAAAAAAACCCAACCTTTTTATATCCGAGGAAGCAGGGAAACTCAGGAAATATCCTCGTTATTTATGGGGGTCTGATGAAAACTGGGAAATGTCCCCCATATAAATTATATTTTCCCTAACTCAAAGATGCTCATCACACTGAGAAAACATGTATTCGTTAAACCCCTTAATTAATTTAAGATGGTTTATTTACAAGAACATAAGACTGGCCATACTAGGTCAGACCAATGGTCTATCTAGCCCAGTGCCCTGTCTTCCAACAGTGGGCAGTGCCTGATGCTTCAGAGGGAAAGAGCAGTTGAGTGATCCATCCTGTCACCTAGTCCCAGCTTCTGGCAGTCAGAGGTTTAAGGACACCCAGAGGATGCAGTTGCATCTCTGACCAATTTGGCTAGTAGTCATTGATGGATCTCTCCTCCATGAAATTATCTATGCTTCTGTACTTTGTTCTGTTTTGCAGGCATTCCATATATCTATAAAACTAGGGGCAAAGAGGTGAGAAAGAATAACAGGTGGATGTTTTGAGCACTATCATAATGGATAAACAGCAGGCCAGCTGGGAAGAACGCATTTTAAAAATTGTATGTTTTATGTTTTTTCCAGACTTTGTCATCTGAGAAGTGTGTTTTCTTCAGGACAGGCACTGTGTTATCACCTTTAGAGAATGTGTAGCACATTGTACATCATAAATAATAATCATTCTGAATCCCGTAGCTAAATACAGAGAGAAAAACACACACAAAAAGAATAACCTAAAATCCCTTTCAATGGGATGGGATCGGGGACTATGATTTAAAGAGGGGGGGGGATTTTTTTTCTAGATCTCGCCTCCTTCGTTGACCTCTCCCATGGCTATCTTCTTAATCAGGGGGTCTTGGGGGGGAGGGAAAGGGACTGCCTCTCCCGCCGCCCATCCCTCTCCCAGGGAGAGCGGGTAAGAGCCCCAGGTGTGGTTAGGGTGCTCAGATGTCCCCATTTTGTAGGGATAGCCCTGATATTTGGGGCTTTGTCATACATATGCGCCTGTTACCTCCAGTCTCATTCCCGGGTTGTCACACTTGCTATCTGGTCACCCCAGGTGTGTGCGGACGCTGGGCGAGCCAGCCACCTGCCTGGGGCCCGCAAAAAATCCTCCCCAACCCTTGGATAATCCCGGGGGCACGTGGGCGCGTTCCTGTGGGGCTCTACGCCGGGCGTGATTGGCCGCCGGGCCGCTCACTGTGCCCCACAGGCGGGTACCGGCCCCGCCCCTTCTGAGCTCCCCACATCCGGGTACCTGTCAGCCGGCCGCGCCGCCGCCCGCTTTCTGTTCTCTCTCATTCAGGCGGACTGGAGGGAGCGCAGGGAAGATGGCGGCGGGGCGAGCCGGCTCCTTCGGTTCCTCTTCCTCCTCGCCGGGGCTCGGCGCGGGGGGCGGCCCGGCCGCCGGCTTCACCGCCAGCAATAACGCGGAGCTGCGGGCGGGGGGCGAGGAGGACGATGGGCAGAACCTCTGGTAACCGCCCACCTCGCCGGGCCGCCGCCGCCCGTTAGCGTCTAGCGCCCCCGCTCCGCGAGAGCCTCCGCCCGGGGAGGGGGACGACGACACAGCCCCCCTCGCGGGGCCCCTGTGAGGCCAAGTAATGCGGGGCGGCGGCGGCGGGGCGGGCCGCTCTTGTCAGCGGCAGCAGCGGCCCCCGGCCCCATCCCCCTAGTGCGCGCGCGTTCGTGTGTTTGGGGGGGTCTTGCTTGTGCAGACACGGGCGTGGCCCCTGCCTGACCGGGCTCTGTCTCCCCTCAGGTCCTGTATCCTCAGCGAGGTGTCCACGCGCTCCAGGTCTAAGCTGCCTTCGGGGAAAAACGTCCTGCTGCTGGGTAAGTCACCCCGGCTCCCGGGGAGGGTCTGGTGCCGGGCGGCGCCCCAGCGGTGGGGAGGTGGGGCCGAGTGTGCGGTTTGCCCGGGGCTGGGTTAGCGCCCCGCGGAGCCGCCGCTGTTTGTTGGGCGGGGCAGGTCGTACCCCCTGCCTCGTAGCGCCTCCCCCCCGTTGGGAGCGGGGGTTGCCCCCCCCCCCCCCGAGGTGGCGGCTTTGGAGGCGGGTGGCGCTTGCCATCTGTCTTCCCTCTGGGGAGGGCGGGTTCCGCTGGCTCCGTGAGAGGCTCCCTCAGCATCTCCCTCATTCAGGCCGTCAGCACGGCTGGACGCACAAAATCTGCGTCCAGAGCCCCGGCAGTGTCGGCGGCGGCTGCCGCCGCTCCTTGTTAGCCGGGTGGGCGGTGTCGAGGCTGTTAAGGGGTCCCAGCTGGGTCCTGGCCACCATGTACGGGGGCTTGTCAGCAGCATTATCGTCTTGATGTTGTGCAGCAGCAATGGCATCTCTTGTACTGGTTTTCTTTGTGCTTTGCTATGTCCACCCGGTGGAAGCATCCAAACCCTGGCTTGCTTGTGGCTCTGCTTGGCACTTACTGTGGCCTGAGGACGATCAGAGTTATTTCGGGGCGGGGGAGGAGAACTAGAAGCTGTAAAGGTAAACAACAAGGAGTCTGGTGGTACCTTAAAGAGTGACAGATTTATTTGGGCATAAGCTTTTGTGGGTTTTTTTACCAGTTTGGGGTGTGTCATAAATATAAAGGGAAGGGTAAACACCTTTAAATCCCTCCTGGTCAGAGGAAAAACCCTTTCACCTGTAAGGGGTTAAGAAGCTAAGACAACCTCGCTGGCACCTGACCAAAATGACCAATGTAAGATACTTTCAAAGCTGGGGGGTGGGGGGGGGAACAAAGGGTTCTCTCTCTTTTTTTACCCACAAAAGCTTTTGCCCAAATAAATCTGTTAGTCTTTAAGGTGCCACCAGACTCCTTGTTGTTTTGTGGATAGAATAACACAGCTACCCCCTGATACTTGTAAAGGTAAATAATATGCAATCATGCAAAATACAGAAAACTTATTGTGGATGGGAAGGGACAGATGGCTCCGTTTAATTGCACTTCTTGACAGAAAAGCTAAGAACTGACAATTTAAGCCTTAGGGGGTGCATTGATGAATTTCTTAACTATCTTCCTTTACAACATACTCATACAAATCAGTTTGCGGAGCCGTATTAGGAAACCATGTCTCAAGATCCTGGAAGCGGCAGCTCTTCTGGTCTCCGGTGAAGCTCTCTGTGGAGAGTTTGTCATGTTTATCTATTGGTTAATGTCCCTTGTGAGAGTGATTGAGATTAGTTTATTCAAAAATAAATCAGTGTCCTTTTTCTGCTTCCCTGTATAAATTTAAGTGGGGGACTTAAGATGGCCAATGTGGATGAAAATGCCATGTAAGGGTGAGGTGATGTTCTAGTGGAACTGGCGTAGGTCTCATTAATTTTTAAAGTTTTTTTAATATTGTGAAGTGGGATAGCGAGATTGATAGTCCTTTGAACTGCCTCCTGTTCCTAGCTAGATTGTGTTTTGTCTCACATTTTCATGTAAGGGATGACTGAAGTGGGTAGTTACCAGCATTTGTTTTTATGGTAAGCATCTTCTGAAAATTAAGTGGATTGACTTATTCATGCTGAACTGGGGAAATGTGTTTCCAGGTGTGGTCCTGGCTGCCAATATTGCTCCTCCCCCTACCACCTTTCCTTTATTCTCTTACTCTTCTAGCCTTAGAGCAGTGGTTCTCAAACTTTTTTTTTTGCGGACCACGTGAAAAGTGCTGAGGATCTCGGCAGACCACTTAACGATCTTTCCAAATGTTGTTTGTACCGTTAACTAACTATTATAAAGCGCTTTGGATAAAAGCACTAAATATAAAAAATTACTTTACTTTTTTTTTTTGTTCTACAAATAAAAGCACACAACTCATATTTTAATATCAGTAGTCTTACCTTTCTAATGCAGTGGATGTGCCCTGTCAGCCCCCGAGCTAGGGCTGGAAAAGAGGGGGATCTCTCCCCCGCCACAGAGCTGAGACTGGGAAGGAGGGTTGTCTCTCTCTGGCAGCCACAGCCCTGGAGCTGGGGAAAGTTGCCTCTTTCTCTGGCCACCGCAGCCCTGCACATCCCAAATTCCCCTTACCCTCGCTTCTCACCCCACTACCCCCTCCCACCTACCTCCTATTCCTCCCCCACCTTACATGTGCATCTTCTCCAGAGTCCAGGCACCTAATTAATGGAGCCACAACTGCGCGGCTCCACTAATTAGGGGGGTGGCCCTTCAGCCTCTTGTGTGAGGCCGCCCAGGCATACACCTTGGAACTATCCACTGACCACCTGAATGGAGCTTGCGGACCACTTGTGGTCCACAGTTTGAGAACCTCTGCCTTAGAGTATATTGGCCATCCTTTAAAGCAGTGGTCTCCAAACTTTTTACGCCCAAGATCACTTTGAATTTAAGGGCAACCCAGGATTCGCCCCCCCCCCCCCGGTCTCTCACTCACTCACCCACCCTTGCTCACTTTCATCGGGTAGGGGTTTGGGGTTTGGAAGGGTATGTGGGCTCTGGGCTGGGGCCGAGAGGTTCAGTTTGGGAGAGGGTTCTGGGCTGAGCCTGGGGCAGGGGGTTGGGGTGCAGAAGGGTACAGGGTGCCGGCTTTGGGATGGGGGTCAGGGCTGGGGCTTGGGATGCAGCCTCCCACTGGGCAGCATTACCTCTGGCAGCTCCCAATTGGCGGTGCAGCATGTCTGCCACTAAGGCAGGCTCCCTGCCTACCCCAGCCGCTCCTGGAAGGGGCCAATGAGCCACTGTGGCCTGGGGGTCAGCATGTGGCTCTGCGTGCTGCCCCTCTATGTAATCACTGCCCCCGCAGCTCCCATTGGCCGCAGCTCCCCATTCCCTGCCAACGGGAGCTGCGGGGGCAGTGCTTGCAGGCAGGAGCAGTGCGCGGAGGGAGACCCCTGCCCACTTGGGCCATGGGGCGAGTTGGCCACTTCTGGGAGTGGCGTGGGGCTGGGGCAGGCAAGGAGCTTGTCTTAGCGGCAGTCCTGCTGTGCTGCCAGAGATTGCGATCGACTGGGAGATCCTCTAGGAAGATATTTTTTGAGGGTCTGGTAATTATTATTCTTGTTCTTCATCATGTTATCTGTTAGCAGCATGCTGCCTAATGCATATAGCTAGCAAAAGTGGGAATGTGGAAATGGGTGCAATAGATCAGAGACTAGGGCATACCTGACACTGATATCTCAGTATCTGCTTCCTGAAAGCATCGAGAGCAGGGATCTCAAACTCCCAGCCCACGGGCCATCTGTGGCCTGAGACCCTCCCCAATGTGGCCCACGGTGCTCCAGCAATTTTGGGGCTGGGTCTCTTCCTTGGCCCCAGGCACTTCCCCTCCCTGCATGTCCCCCGGGCGACTTACAATGGCCCGCATGTCCCACCACCGGCAGCGCAGCGGAGCTGAGCAGCTTCTGCTTGCTCGCTCCACGTGTCTGCTGGCCCCACCCTGCAGCCCTGGGGTGGGGTGGGGCAGGGCTGTGTCTGAACCCCCATCCCCTGCCGCAGCCCAGAACCTGCACCCAGCACCCCAACTCCATCCCAGAGCCTGCATCCTGTGGGGGGTGGAGCTTGGGGAGGGGCAGAATTTTGGGGGGGCGGGTTCTGTGTGGCATGAGTGACATTATTGGCCTGCTCGGAGGATTTGAGGACTGTCACTGTCCCTAAAGTAAACTGAGTTTGAGACCCGTGATCTAGAGGAGTGGCTGTTACTCTGAAATCTGTTCTCTTTAGTATTGAAGGTAATAAGTGTGGTGAGGTTTGCCAGTATCTCCTCTGGGGTTTCTTGCTGATAGTGGTAGGAAAATGTATATTAGCCTTATGATAAAAGGGAAGTCTTTGTCCCTTCTAGTGTAATTTTTATATACACATTGAACTAACTTCTGGAATGAAGGAAGGGGCAACCAGTACTTTTAGCAAGTTGTCATACAGTTGACCTGCAGCATCCTGAATATCATGTGGATGTCTGAGTTCAGATATTCCAGCTTATATCCTTAAGTAAATTATGAAGTGGATTCAGTCAGTAGCATACGAAATTGTTCCAGTATGCACAAGGCAACTGATAGGCTCCCTAACTTGTAAGGGAACAAACCAGCTGCTTCCTGTCTGCCCACCTATTTCTCTACATTCTCATTAAGTCTGTCCAGCATATTGCCACTAAAATTCTCACCACCTGCTTTAACTACGTCAAATTCTTTAAAACCATTCAATGAGTTCTAGTGCCTTCCATACTACGCTAAAAGACATTCCTAACTTCAAGGGCTAAACACCTTTGTTCATGTTTAAACTGAATCTAGTTTCACCTTCTCCATGTATTCAGCTCTGCTTGATGTTCAGAGTTTTGAGTGAGCAGTCTTAAGAATCTTTTTTTTTTTTTTTTAAAGCCTTGTTGCCTCCACATTTTCTTTGAACCCCAAGCATCCCACTTCGTATGGCTAAACCATTTGAGTC